TCAACTTTGTACACAAATGTTGTGTGACGAATTGTTTACATCATCAACTTTGTACACAAATGTTGTGCAATGACCATAGTACTTTAAGTATACATAATAGAGATCTCACCTTAGTCCACTTGCCAGTGTTCCACACTGGACATTCCTTTATCAGACACTTCTGTGTAGTTTCTGGTATCAATGAAACACACTTAGCAGCAGATACCTGTGTGTCTACTGACCTCCCTAACTGTTGCATACATGTGACTTGTCTTATCTGTACACCCTCATCACAAGTTCGACTACACTCACCCCACTGTGCTGTCTCCCACCTGAACATAGAAATTTAAACAAATATTGTTAAACTCCTACAGTTTTTGTAATGGAAGTTCTTCTCCTGATTACTTGATTGCAATACATGTGTCTAAGGTCTGTTATTTATTCCACAGCACCTGAACATCAAATCTGATAGAAGGGTTTAAAAATAAGATATCAGAAAATTTACTATTCACATTAATCATATCTGTGAATTACCAAAGTACCAAGTTTCATTGAAATCTGATGAGTAATTTTTAAATGAAAATAAAAATTAATTTACAGCTGAAAATAAAGGTGTATGCTGATTAGATAATAAGTATGCACAGATTTCAATGAAAAACTAATGAAGATTGATGATTAATTTTCATTGATTAAGTTTCATTGAATTATGTTTATCTTGAGATAAAAGCTATAAAATTAGTTTAATCCTGATAAAACTACAATGAAACAACAAAGTTTTCAAAGTAGTTTTTTTTAACCAGACAAAATCCATAAAGCTTATTAAGAAAAAAGAAAAAACTTGAAAGATCACAAAATAGGGAATAAAAGTTACCTTGGAGGGCAGGGATCTGTGTTACATGCTATTGTCCTTGCTCTTGGTTTGCGTCTTACATTACAATTACTATCTGCCACAACATACAATGAATTCTCAGTCAAACACTGCACTAAACTATGTTGAGTTCCTGCAAAAAAACAACACAATAAACATCATTTGAAAAAACTTTTCAATTGTTATTCTCCATAATATTCTGTATGTAGACCCTTTAAATGCAGTTTCAAAGAGTTCAGACAGTGGACATAAGTCAATGACAGGTGACCTACTTCCAGCACAGGACTGAACATTGTATGCAAATGACAGGTGATCTACTTCCTGTACTGGACTGAACATTGTGTCAATGACAGGTGACCTACTTCCAGCACAGGACTGAACATTGTATGCAAATGACAGGTGATCTACTTCCTGTACTGGACTGAACATTGTGTCAATGACAGGTGACCTACTTCCAGCACAGGACTGAACATTGTATGCAAATGACAGGTGATCTACTTCCTGTACTGGACTGAACATTGTGTCAATGACAGGTGACCTACCTCCTGTACTGGACTGAACATTGTGTCAATGACAGGTGACCTACCTCCAGCACAGGACTGAACATTGTATGCAAATGACAGGTGATCTACTTCCTGTACTGGACTGAACATTGTGTCAATGACAGGTGACCTACCTCCTGTACTGGACTGAACATTGTGTCAATGACAGGTGACCTACCTCCAGCACAAGACTGAACATTGTATGCAAATAACAGGTGACCTACCTCCTGTACTAGGCTGAACACTGTGTCAATGACAGGTGACCTACCTCCTGTACTCGACTGAACATTGTGTCAATGACAGGTGACCTACCTCCTGTACTGGACTGAACATTGTGTCAATACAGGTGACCTACCTCCAGCACAAGACTGAACATTGTAAGCAAATAACAGAAGACCTACCTCCTGCACAAGACTGAACATTGTATGCAAATAACAGGTGACCTACCTCCTGTACTAGGCTGAACACTGTGTCAATGACAGGTGACCTACCTCCTGTACTGGACTGAACATTGTGTCAATGACAGGTGACCTACCTCCTGTACTGGACTGAACATTGTGTCAATGACAGGTGATTTACCTCCAGCACAAGACTGAACATTGTATGCAAATAACAGGTGACCTACCTCCTGTACTAGGCTGAACACTGTGTCAATGACAGGTGACCTACCTCCTGTACTCGACTGAACATTGTGTCAATGACAGGTGACCTACCTCCTGTACTGGACTGAACATTGTGTCAATGATCAGGTGACCTACCTCCAGCACAAGACTGAACATTGT